CAAAAGATAAGCGCTGCATTTTATTAATTATCAGCTCATTTCAAGATCAAAGACCGCAATAGGAGAGCGCGCGGCATCAGCACTGGAAAAATAGGTTAGTCACACTACTTTTAATGAGGATGATTGTGTGTTGAGCGTCTGCGTCTTACTTTCAGTTTCATTCGCGGCTAGTGGTACAGAATTGCATGATTTGTAGATTATATTTAATAGTTTCCAATCCATTTGCGTAAACGTTTGCAGTTAGTTTTTAAAAGGTAACATTACATTCTTAAGGACTCTATGCTTACATTTATTTAAAAAAAATAAATAAAAAATTAGGAACACCTTTTGGTCAATGACAGAAATTAACCTTCCCATTATAAGGCGATATTTGACTCCTTAAGGTTTTTGTTTTTTTTACCTTTGGGATGCTATTTTTCTAACTTTATTAAATGTATGTCATCTTTTGTGCCAAAAAAATAGATGTATTAACTTCAATCAATTTTTGATTTTTTTTTTTTCTTTTTGAGTAAAATTTACATATGTGGTTTCAACAACCAGATGCATTTACACTTGTCCAGTTTCGTCTGGAATGCGGACCAGACCACCTCCTGAAGTGGTTTGAGCGATCGGATTTATATCCGTCTCGAATGCGTTTCGGAGGGCATTTACACCTGGTCTTTTCACGATCGGATAGCTATCCGATCAGAAAAAAACGCATGACGTGACCAGGTGTAAACAGGCCCTAAGAATAAAAAGATGTTTTAGTGGCTGAGGAAGTTACTACATTTTGATAAAAGTTTCAAATTTTATTTTGAATAACATGCAACAGTGAATGTGTTATAAGTTAATGTAGCCAATTTTTTACCTTAAATACAACATATGCAGCATTATCTGCACAATGCATTAAGATATGTCCAAATCCAATAGCATAACATCTTGTCTACTAAATGCCTTAATCTGGTGGATTTTTGAAGGCAACACAGATGTATCCTTTATTACCTATGATATCCAACAACCCTGTGCATGCAGTTTGGTGGCTGATGAAGCAGTTTAAAATAGTAATTAATCTGACTTTAATCTGTCTAAAGACTGCATGATTATTTGAATTGACAAGCATTCTAAAGAATTTGCGCAATATCATCAGATATTATTGTGCCATGGAAGCCTAAGTTTCTTTAGAAGGTTTCTTGATACAAAGTCAAAGTGACTACTAAGGCACTGATGAGCTGAAGAGCAAGACAGATGCCTTTGGTTTTGGACACAGCCTAATTGTTTGACGCACCTTTTGATGGCCACTAGCTCTCCAGACTCATTGCTTTTCCCCATCAGAACACTGCCGTAGGTCCCATCACCTAGCTGCTTGAGTGTTGTGTAACGGTTCATCTTCACTCTCACCCAAAGAAACAGTACTGACAGACGGACGTCTCTCCTTTCAGATCACCTGATCATATCTGTCCTGATGAGCTTAAGAGAAGTCAAGCAGTGAACGCCACTCCATCCCACTACTGGCACTGAAAACAAATACAGAAAATAGAACACAATGCTGTTTACTGTGTCTACTGAGTAACAGTACTGTATCATGTTGCTTAAATGTAATTTAATTGACATTAATCCATATATTTATTATCCATATATTACTGATGGCACATTAATTTGAAAAACAATTATTCACATAATTATTTAGAAAAATATATGTGCACAGTTTGCATATAGTTTGCTTGTTAACTGAGTTAAAAAAAAAAAACTTATCCATTGACCTTTTTTAAAAAAGTGTATAGTCTCCATACAACAGAAGTTGTGACCAACTTTACTAATCAAACAAGTTATGACATTTTGATTAAAGATTCCAAATACTATAACTATAATATTGATACTAATGTATAAAACAAATGGTCATTAATTATTTTACGTTTTTATTATTTGATCACCTTTTTGCCTTTTATTAAGTACTCCATGTAGTCTCTCAGTTAATATAAGATCATGAAAGCTTCATGAACAGTAAATGTCTTCATGTCTAATTTTTATGTCTAATGGAGTACAGCATGTCACACCACAGGACAACTACCCATGTAGTCAATTAATGAGATCTCTAAAATTAAACACTATACATCAATCAAACATTTACAAATAAAACTATTGTGTGAGTGCAGTGAACCTTCTCAGACAGTGTTGTATTTTAGACTTTAACTGGATATTTGAGAAATGCCATCTCATGTGTTCCTGCATTATTGCTGCATGGGAAAGAACACTACAACAAATGAACACATACCTGATAAAGAGGTAATTGCAAAAGTACCAATTATCAATTCATTTAATTGCTGTTCCTGTAAATCTACATTGTTCTGTTAGCATGATAGGGGATCATGTTTAACATTTATTTTTTTTAAAGTATACAGTCTTATGGGGCAAATGAGCCAGTCAAAATACAAGATTACACACACCAGTGAGATATCAACAAGATCTTGCATCATGGCCACGCTTTTGTGACTAGAACTGCTCTCCATCCATCAAATAGCAGCCAATGGGATTTACAGGCCGAGCAAACTGCCCATTTTAATTTTGTAGTAAAGTAATGAGCAATAACCAATAACTGAACATAGGAGACTGATGATGAGATCTTAATTTGTCCTGCAATAACAAATATAGTAAAAAATAAACTGCTCTTTAAAAATAGCTTCATGCAAATTGTAAACTTAACACAAATTATGTAACCCCAAAATCAAAAGAAAATATGACATAGAATATTAAGCCTGTGTCAGGACCATTAAGATGTATTCATGTATTTAGTTTAGTTAGTAATTAGCATGGTTCTAAATAGATTCTAAACTGTTCTGAACAGATTGGAGATGTGTGTATATTTTAACATGAACACACACAGTAATGCAAACTGGGGGGAAAATATGTTCAGTGTTTTTGTTCATGTTCTTCAAAGACTGCATGATATTCACTTTCATAAAAAGACCCTCACATAAAAGGAGACTTTTGACCAGCGCAGGGCAGCACTTTAGGTTAAGGCTAAAGATTGTCACATCATTCAAGTCAATCCATTCTGCCAAAAATACCTATAAACAGCACACAGAAAACACACAGCTAACACCACTACACTGGAATTTAACGTAAATCCCAATACATTATACATATGCACAAATACATGAGGCCAAACGTAAACAGCGTTCCATATGGGAAACAGAGTAAAGGTTCACAAAACAGACCTCTGTCAGTAATCTGGTTTAAGAAGCATTAGTAAATGTGGATCTACAGAGGACACAAGGAGTTAAGATGCTCCTCAAGGTCACTCAATAAGCTGAACACGTGTGAATTAACATAGGGGCAGAAATCAACCTATAAACATAAAATGTTAATAGAAACACGAATTTACGAATGCTCCGAGACTGCATTTAAAAATTACCAGCATTATCTGTCAACCCTCAGGGTTATGTATTAGTACTGCAACATAAAGACGTTTAATAAGCCACTAGAGTTGCGTCATTGATTATTATTCACCATTATTAATCTGAAATGTGTTTTTACTTGTCTCTTGTGGGTTGACTGTAAATGTTATGCTCATTCACAAGATCTTCCACGCTATTTTGCACTGCAAACTCACCCGTTGTGATGGCACTCCTCCGTGTTAGTCGTTGCCTGTGTGTGTAGATATGACAGATGTGTTTAAGAGAGATACTACGTGAGTTTATCTCTCAGTTAAAGAGGTGTGATCCATCCTCACCCTGGCAACCGACAATCGCGACCGCTAACAACGCACAGCCAACCGGAAGTCTGGAATCACGTGGATACGCAAAGGTTCATGGGGTTTGTTGTTCAAAACATTTTTAACTCCTTCAGTTCCGCTGACTTTCATAAATTCACGTATTTCGTGCAGCATAACAGCAGGGTCTTATTTAATGTAATCATAATTTCATGTCTTTTTAATACACCCAGTGTAACTAACCAATTTCACTCACAAAATGAGACGTCCCATCCCGTGACATCCCGAGCTGTTTCACCGACAGGTGGCGCAATCTGCTTACTTTCCAGAAGTATAAACATGCACTATGTTAAAATTAGTTTGAATAGCAGTTTGCCAAGGGGTAATCAGTATTTTCCAATTCAAATTAGACCAATACAAAAATTATTTTTATTGAAAATGGAGAATAATAATTTGTGTAAAATAAAATGCTAAAAAGAATGCTATTTACACATCTAAAATGTATCTAAATAGAGTTAGATGCCTTTTACCTAACATCAGGTTTTCTCAGTATAAATGTGATCATTTCAGAGGTTCACATGATCATAATAAGTGTATACTATTTTAAAAGCTGTTAAATGTTAAATTAAATTAGGATCTCAAAATCAGGTGATGTAAACAGTGACCTCACTGGCCTCAATTTTGCAGTGCATAGTGACAAACAGTTGTTTATAAAAGTACTGTAGTGTTTTTGTTGGTGTCTTGGAAAGAAAAGACAATCAGTAGCCTAGCTGCTTGAAAACTTGTTTTTATTATTGGTCAAATTCACCAATGGTCAAAATTCACCAGGGGGACTCTAGCTTGGAGGGTGGGTGGGTAATTTTAGATGACCTTTTGGATGTATTTAATTATAAAACCCATTATAATCTATAATAACATTAAACTTATTTCATATTTTCTCTAAACCTTCTTGGATATTAAGACAAGCACCTGCAATTATGGCCAAATTAAAGATACGCTGTGTGTGAATTTGCATGTTATAATTTAAGCAAAATTAATGACACCTTGTGTTTAATAATAAAAAAAAAAATATATTATTATTTTAATTTATTGTTTAATTAAAAATGAAATCTTTTGTGCCAAAAAAATAGATGTATTAACTTCAATCAATTTTTGATTTTTTTTTTTTCATTTTTAATTAAACAATAAATTAAAATAATAAGATACAATCAGGAAGAATAAGTTACCATTTAAAGGCAGAGTAAGTGATTTCTGGTAGCCAATGTTGATATTTGAAATCACCAATCACTTACTCTGCCTTTAAATGAAATCAGCAACAACAATTCATTTTTGCACGGCACAGAAGAGCACAAATGTGGCATTAAGGAATATTTACAGATTATCTGACAAGGCTCAGAAGTGGCATTAATGCATTTCATAATACCAATGCCATGATATTAATGTTTTAAATATAGAGCTTTGAATACAGAAATATTAAACGATTTAAAGGTGGGGTAAGCGATTTTTCAAAAACGCTTTAGAAAACTGATTCGGGCCGAATAGCAAAACAAACTTGTAGCCAATCAGCAGTAAGGGGTGGAGGAGAGAGAGTTCAGTGCACAGGACGGACATTAGCCGAGCCGAGCGACAGAAAGATAGA